GTTGAAACATGGCCTAAGCTTATGAAAAGCATAGAGTTTGTCATCATCAAAAAGGGAGAATTTGTTGGCCTAAGTAAAGGTTAGTTTTGAAGACCGACAAAGGAACTCAGGCATGAACAAGGTCCATCCTTTGTGTGCATAGAAACGGGTAGATTCGAGCATGTGGGATGCACGTGAAGGAGATAAATTTAAATTGGTGTATTTTGTATCTCCTAATAAAAAGGTTGCATAATTGATAGGGAGGAAGACTCTTTAATCAAAGAGAACATTTTCCAAGATAGGGAAGGAGTTAGTAGTTGAAATCAACTAGAACTCTTCCACCAAGGAAGAGTTGCATCAGAATTCTAGCTATTTCTTCATCTACTAACTCTATAAATTACAAGATGTTCTCACATTATAAGTTTTGCACAAAAACGCAGAAGTTAAACGTGAATTGAGAGCAAAATAGGAAGGCATTTTGCAAGCAGTTCGTGTGTGATTCAAGTGTGCAAACCTGAAGCTACATGAATCAGATTGAAGAACCAGCTCCATAAAGAGTTTTATGTGTTTTTCTTTATTTCTAGTTCAATTATAGTAGGTGTTTTCATATTGTACCTTTCAGCTTTATCTAGAAGCAATTGTAATAGGTACTTTGAGTATTCAAATTAGAGTTAACTTGAAGTTGTCGCAACAGTTAGAGGTTGGTTGCTACAACAGGATTAGAGGTAATCCTTAGGTTTACAAAGAGTTTTGTAAATGCTGTTTTGGTTCAGTGATTTAATGAAGTGTTGGGGAAAATCCTATTGAGTATTAGGTCGTGATTTTTTTACCTTTTGAGTCGGGTGTTTTCCACGTAAAAATACTTATGTTCTTTACTTTCTGTATTTATTATTCCGCAACAATAGTATAAGGAACACATAAAAGAACCAGGTCCTTCCATAATCAATTTAAGCAAAAAATTAGTCACCACACAAATCATCCCCCTCTTATATGATATTGAAGTATAAAACATCAATAAGCAATACTTCTAATTTTTAAGAAGTTTGGCAAAAATAAGCTATTAGTGTCTACATACTTTTAGACCATCTGTAGTCAAAACTTAGGGTGTGTTTGGTATGAAAGAAAATGTTTTTCCTTCTCTTGATGGGGAAAATATTTTCCTCCAATTGAAGGAAAATAGGTTCATGAAGAAAATATTTTCCAAAATATTTAAGCCAATCAAATATGGGAAAATTGGAAAACATTTTCCCAAAATTTTCCTACCAAACACACCCTTAGATTTTGGATCCAATTAAAGCCAGAAGCATTTTTTTAAAAGCAGTAATACTAGTTCGCGGCAAATAAATATTATCTCAAGCAAATTTCCTTCTATTTTTGTAGATGAATTATCACATGTGATTGTTAAGAATTGAGTCTAATCTTTCAAAGGAAGTTGTCCAATCCACTTAGTCATAATTTTATGATTGATACTTGGAACCATATCTTATATACGTATAAAGCTACATAATATATGATGCCGTATTCAGTATTCTTGTCCTCGGAATACTTAAAAAAAATCATATTTATATAGCACTACATTGTTAAACGTTTTGGGTATTAAATATAAATTATACTAGTTTCCTCTTATCTCTGTCTCTTTTTTTTTTTCCTTTTTTTTTGATAACTTATTCTCGGAAATATGAACTAAATGTCGATAATTTTTGCAAAAAATACTCAGATAGCAACAGTGGAACATTTTTCTTTATGTCCACTAAATAAAATGTAATATTCGTAGCGCTTTAATTTGGTTCACATGTATTAGATACTCTTTGTTAAAAAGGGTATCTTCACTCACTATCAAAAATATTTGAAGGTCAAATGTCCATTTCTTCATGCTTTTTCCTATTCGAATATAGCTATGATTTGGGGTCCCCATATATAACCCCAATATTAAATACATGGGCCTTATATTTATTTAAAAAAGGAAACATAATAAACACATGATATGTTAGTTGTCGATTCCAATTTTTGTGGTATCACCTAGACAGGGGCAGATGTAGCGCATTGTCGACGGGTTTAATTGAACCCATAATTTTTTATGCGGAGTAAAAATTTATATATAAAAATTTATTAAAATTACAATAATAGTAGATATGAACTCATAACTTTAAAAATATAATGAGTTCAATGCTAAAAACTTTAAAAGTTGAACCCATAGGATTTAAATCCTGAATCCGCCTCTGCACCTAGAGATTGTTTTAAAAGATATTAGTTTATTTTCTATTTCTAAATACTCAAACAAAATTTCAAGGGGGTCAATCAAATGCATTATATCTTTATTATTTAGATTTTCCTTTCAAAGTTTTGGTTTTCTTGAAAGAAATTGGTGGTCTGGAATGAGTTACAATAAATTTTTTTAAATTATCAGTATCTTTTAATATAAGCTAGTGTAGATTGAGAGACATGTGATTGGTCATAAAAGGAACCAAAAAAAAAAGGAGAGGGTAAAAGAATTCCTCAAATATACAATAATGGTCTTACCAATTATTATCAACATTTTTAATGTTAGTCTTTGAATGAGTGACCAAACGAGAGAGTTCCTGTTATCAGTCAATGATTGTGTACAAAAAAATTCTGATATTATCTTCTCGAGGAAAAATGAAATTCAATTTTGAGTGCTCTAATACGAAACTTGTAGCTAGCTAGGTGACTTCCTTCGTTTCAGAAAGCTTTGTTAAAATAATGGAAATACGATAGAGTGATAATTTTCTATAATAAGTTACACTACACTAATAATATTAAAAAATCTGTATATTTTTAGTGCACAATGTAATAAATTGATTGGTAAGCTAGCATAAATAATAAGTAATATTATAACATATTAAAGTATACCGTTGTTGTAAAAATTCATATACACTCAAGTATATATAGCTTAATTAAATCCTCTGCCACCAATAATAAGTACTACAGTCAGACCTCTTTATAACAATATCTCTATATAATATCAATTTACTATAAAAGCTAAGTTTTTTCGCAACCGAGTTTTATAGTATGTTATAATGTATGTCCTTTATAACAACACTTTACTATAGCGACCAAACAATATCGGAACAAACTAGGTTGTTATAAAGAGGCTTGACTGTACTACTATTATAATATGACTGATATTCCTGAAAAATAGAGTAAAATAACTTGTTGTAACATATTATTAATAATGTAAAAGATCTTTACATTATAGGTATATTTTTCTTCCTATTTTTGGAACATCATTAGAATAATTCACACCATATTTTGATTTCCTCTTTATTTTCACATCACATCACACTATAATAAGTGAAACATTCAACTGCAATAATACCTTTTTGTTTGTACAAATTGAAAAAACTCCAGCTAGTAGATTATGATGGAAATAAAAAACAACAAATTAAATGAGGAGTGGGTGAGTATGTGGATCAAAATTATTATCACATGAATATCTAAAACATGGTGGCAATTTGTAGGGACAAATATAAGAAGCCTAAAGAACAAGGAAATGTTGCCAGCCAAAACTTGTCGTCTCTTCACATGCTTATTATCAAAGGCGAACCTATCTGTAACCTGTTACCGGACCTCGTAAACTTCGACAAAAATCTTATCTATGTATATACATATACTTTAAAAATAACTAATTTAAATCACTTGATACCATAAATACTAAAAAAGGGGGCCGAGCCACAATATTAGTTGAGGGTTCAGCTGAACTCAGAAACTTTTGTTCAAATCCTATATTTGTATTAAGAAACTGAATGAATTTGTACAAAATATTCATTTAGAAGTAACTTAAAAGAATTATAATCCCGAACCCATAAGGTTTAAATTCTAGCTTTGTCTCTCACTAAAATCCTTGAGGGGCATTGGTTGAGCAGAATATCCGCCCATGTGTGTTATGCCTAATGAATTTGACGTCTTTCCAGAAATAGTACATGGTGTGCTAGCATTTGTTAATCAATGTCTTCTTCTTGTCTCTAGTATGACATGAGAGTCGCACTCGAGTTGAAACTCTAATGAAAACGAGCTCTCTCTATAATTTTTTTTTATCATTTTGTTTTCTTGTAATTATGTACTCCCTCTGTCGTAATTTTCGTGAAGGGTTTGGAATACGGGGTTAAAATACTTAATTTTAGATATTAAATACTTTTTAAAAGAAATTTGAGAAAATCGTAATCAAAGAAAAAATTGTTTGATTCCCTGAACAGTAATACCTTCACATATAATGGGACGAGGAAATAAACATAATGGTATTTGATTGGGCACATATCGTAAGAAAATAATAAATACTTTTGAAATTTTTGATCTAATTATCTAAAATAAGTGATATATATATATATTTGTGTGGTTATAAATTATCTTATAAAGGACAAAATGAGAAGTTTAAAATTAAATTATTGCTAACTATAGAAAAGTATTATTTTATGGGAAAAACTAAGTAGGAAATACCATGGGAAGTATGCAATATTTGTTAATTTATCAGAAGTAGCATACCACTGTAATTCACATTCCTGTCTTTTTGTTAGAACACTAAAAAGACTGGAGATTTAATTAATGATAAGTAAGTACATTAGGATATGACGTTGCTCATCAAGCAATAACGACTAATTAAGGATTTCAGCGTGCAAGTATTATACTCAAAAATAAAAAAGTAAAAAAGATGAAAGCTAAGCGGCCTATTTATATTAGTATTATTTTTTGGGGGAGGTGGGTGAGCATTAATTATTTCCCGCTTAATCAGTAAAACATTGTTCATCGAGATATATATATGACATTGGTCTCAAGTCTTAATGCATATCTACACAATAGAGTTGGTGTTCGCTTTTATTTGGTTCGATAACTTCAGATGACAATTTCTTAGACTATTTTACGCTCTAAACAATTATCGTAGCAGTTTTGACAGAAGTAGAATAAAATAAATTAAGAAAAATAATTCAAAGAAGTAGAAGACTTTCACATAACTTGTGGCCTGATAATATATGTAAAGTACAAAAAACTCAGTAATATTCCAAAGGTAAACAAATGCAAATACTTAAGAAAAGGTCAGATTAGTACCTTTTAAATTACTCTTTACAAAATCTCAAGATTTCTACATCAAGAAACATAAAACAAAATGTAACTCAAGACTATTTCCTCTCTTTGTCCTACATTTCCGAGCATCAATTCTATACAAATTTGATGATCTCCTATTTATAAATACAAAACAAACACACACAACACATTCTAAAATCAGAATGGTGGTTCATATGGAAGAGCCCCATATATATTTCTTAAATTTCTTCACATAATTAATTTCTTCATAATTTGCGACTAATTAATCCGCAAACTGTCACTAATGCAACAATTAGCGACTGATCTACATGGGGTTCCACTTCTAGAGTTAGCACATCATCTCCATATGCAAATCCTCTTGTTGATTGCTTTTGTTTTAACTGCAATAAAATAATAATATTTTACCGTTAGTATATATAACTTAAACTCAAACGAAATAAAAAAAAAATTATACAAGTTATTTGAATCCAAGATTTCAAAGGACCAACCTCAGCAACAACTTCGCCAGCACTATTTGTAACTTTAAATGAAGATTTTCTGTCCAATTTTTGAATCTTGTAGCAACTCTCAATGGATTTTTCATATCCCAAATTCACATTACATATAACATTTCCTCTTGAAAATGTGCAATTCTTTCTTACTTGAAACCATGGCCTCCCTTTAAATCCACCACATAAATATCCATTCCAACGCCCAAAAACTCTTAATTTCTGCAATAAAAAAAACAAATTAGAACATATTTCAACTTCCATAACATGAAATATAAATTAAAAAAAAAAAGTTCAAACTGATTTTTTTTTTCAATATTTACCTCTTTTTTAATGGAGAAGAGAACTTGTCCATTGAGATCCATAAGAAATACTTCACTACTACATTTTTCTTGATAATTATCAACTCTAAAAACAAGTTCACCTTTGGAATTATAAACAGTACAACCATTCCCATGAAAAACTAGTGATTTCATCCATATGGTAAAAGTTTCTCTTATAGATGTAACATAAGGAGAAGAACAAGAAGAAGGAGAAGAAAAAGGTGAAGATATATTTTCTGGATGTATTTTTCCCATTAGAGCAAAATTAAGTAAAAGGTTGGAATAAAGAAGAAGATGAAAGGACTTGAAAGTAGGTTTTGGATTATGCTTGTACATAGAATAGGTAAGAAAGAAGTTGAAAGGCTATAAATAGAAGTTGAAGAAGCCACCAATAAAATAATAGTAGAAGAAATTATCAAGAAAGTAGTAAACATTTGACTTAGAAAGCATTTTTGCCACGTTTACGTGTAATAGTGACGAGGATTTTATTATTTTTTTTTTCTTTCATCCTATTTGCATTGAGTCCCGATTAAATTTAGAGTCACCCCGAAAAATTTTATATTAGGGGTGAAATGTTCTAATTCCTAACAAAAGCGACTAATTATTCAGAGTTCGATATTGAGACTTGTAATTAAGCTCACGTTTAGTCATAGATTTTGGCAATATTTGTTTAAATTTTTGTTTGAAAATATTATTTGTTTATGAAATATGATAAGTTTTGAAAAAAAATTATAAGTTCGAAAAACAGGTTTAGGGCAGTTTTCGGGTAAATATTTTTCTTCCATTTACAAAACTTCAACTTTTCTTCAAATAAGATACATGTCCAAACACAATTTTAACTTTCAAACTTATTTTTCAACACAACTTCAAAATCTTTTTTTTTTCAAGTTTCAACCAAATTTATGTCAAAACGTTACTCCCTCTGGTCCACAATAAGTGACCAATTTGCTTTTTTATTTTGGTCCAAAATAAGTGTCCATTTATATAATTAAGAAAAAATTCAATTTTTTTTTTTTAAAATTACACTTATGTATGTATTCCTAAAAAGTCATTTACTCCTCACATTTGAGAAGAGAAGTAAGTGGTACTATAACTATGATGCAACATTTAATGAAGGGTAATTTAGCCACATTAACTATTTTCGTCTAGAATTTAATATTTCCTTAATAGGTATGCCCAAAGCAAACTGATCACTTATAATAGACCGGAGAGTATATACGAACAAAAGAGTACTTATCCTTTTACTACCACCTTTATTATTTGTGAATTTTATTGTCTTTTATTTATTCTTCCAGTCTGTTTGTATTGGCAATATTAAAGTAGAACATGACTGTTCATTCAGTTTATTTTATTCTTATGTGTCTGTTTGTATACCTTATATAAATATGCTTTTTGTGCCACTGAGGTGGCTTGGTGGAGAACCACTAAACCAGAAGAACAAAGATGTAAATTTCTCCTTTATCCTTTTCCTTTTCCTTGGAGCTAAGGACTCTATTTGAAGTTTTGGGTGAAAATATTTATAAAAAGTTCCAAAATATAATGTGGTCTATAACTCTCACTTGGCAAATATTGAAGACAAAAAGCTTATTCGAAATCTTTATACATTCTATCAAATTATTCATCAATTGATATCTCTAAAATCCTTTCCAAGTTTTATTTCTCATAGTTCTTTAGGTAATTCTTACAACATAAGTTCGCTTTTTAGTTTGAGTTAGACTCAATAACGTTTATTTTTCAAAATATACTATAAGAATCAGATTCATCCCTACTTTTTGATTTACCTGATGTTGAGCTTCCATTTTATAATGTCCACGCTCTAAATTTTTTGGACATGCAGAGGTACAGTTAAGTATCACATTATATTGGTTGAGTATATACAAGTTGTAATTGGCTCCTAATTATATGATCGTAGACGACAACTCGTCTCCTAAGCTGATTTTTGAGTTTGACTTAGGCTTAAGGTCTATTTTCTTAACACAAAATCTTTGAGGACAAAGTAATAGATTTTTTTTTTCTTTTCTTTTTAAACACGAAGTTTTCTTTTTAGTCAGAATTTAGTGATTTGAATAATCAGTACGACTTTGAGATTTAATAATTTGCTAATTCCGAAGTCAACTCCCATAATAATTTGCTAATTCCTTTTTCATTATGGCCAAAGTCAGTGGGGTTCCACTTTCGATTGTGTAACGACAACTAACATTAATTTCTTCAAAAATGTAATAAAATACTATAAAACAAAGAGGGAGTGAAAGAACTGTTCAATGTCAAGAGGGACGCAATTAGAAGTTCTAATTAAATCCACTTAGGGGCAAATTAATTTTCTTTTATAAAAAAAATGGTGTCAATAGGAAGGATTATCACTGATTAAATTCATTAGTGGTCGTTATTAATTGCTTGAGTGCATCATTTTACGTGCTTATCACTTGATGAGGGATTATTAGGTACTGATAATGACCAACTGTTTATTCTACATTATTTTGAAACAGTGAAAAATGTAAGATAATATAAATATACTTAATTTTAAAAATCATTCAACTTTATACATACATCACCATGTAGATAATGGGCACGACCACAATACCATAGGAAGCACTTAAGCAGACCGAGTATTTACACTTTGGTAGAATATATTAGAAAAAATAATATATCCAAATTGGCTTTGGTATTATTAATTCTTTATACAGTCAGACTTTTTTATAACAACATCTCTATATAACAATATTTTACTATAAAAGAAGCTTTTCCAGAACCAAATTTCATGTTATGTTATAACATATGTTCTCTATAACAACACTTCGCTATAACATTCAAAAATATTCGGAACAAACGAATATGTTATAGAGAGGTTTGACTGTAAATGTTTTTTAATATATGTATAATCCAGTACTATTTTTATACATAGCAAACCATGATATTAGTACTACCAGTGGCGAAGCCACATGCATCCAAGTGGTGTCAATTGATACCCCTTCGTCAGAAAATTACACTGTTTAGCTAGGTAATTTTAAAATATGTATATATACTATATAATGACACCCCTTGACTTCTTGGAGAGTTTATTTCTTTATATTTTGACTCTCTTAATGAAAATTCTGGCTCCGCTACTGAGTACTACCATGATTTCTATATGGATAAGCAAGTATAAGGATCGGATTGCCCTTTCGAAACCTTTAATACACAAAATCAAACAATCAATAAGAAATAATCTCATCATAACTAATCCTACTTACTAATATTGACATTAAATACACCATATCAAATACTATTCTTATACACCCTACCAAACAACCCCTTTTAAGTCTTATTAATTTACTAAGGTCAAGTGTGAATGAGGTAAAAATGCATATTAATTAGTCACACATTCAATTCGTTTAGTGTAAACATCATATGGGAGTAAAGAATTTTCTACATAAATGACTTATTCTAGGTGGTAGTTGTTATCAAAACGAGTAAACAAGAAGTGCATATTTTTAAATTAGTTACATTAAAAAGTTGATGTCCACTAAGAATTTCACACTTCCATAAAAAGTTGGAGCTGGTAAATTGACGTCCATATTGTTCTTTAGTGGAACTAAGGAACTATTAAATTCTTCACTTATTGGATGTGATATTTAATAATTATAAACAAAATAATATTATCCTTTTCCGTGATTTTTCTAACATTGGACGGCAAACTCCACTATGTACCGTCACAAGAAAATAATTTATTATTTTGGTTGGATATTATGATGAATTTGACTTTGATATTATTAGATAAGTCTGGACTCAGGGTGAAGTTCCTAGATGTAATAATTTGAAGCTTGAAACCGTTATGGTTTTCAATCATTACCATTATTATTTGTTTCACTTATCTAAAATTTTAGCACTCTAAGCAGCAACGTAATAGTAGAATGAAATCATCATATTCACGAAACGCGCTTTCACTAATTAACAGTAGAAAATCACATTGGATGGCACATTATTTTCAAGATTTAATTGCCAAAATGTGAATCTCCAAAACATTATATTGTATCGTATTGCCAAATCCTCAATATCAATCAGAAATGAGAATGTTGAGATGGATATGCGGGCACACGAGGTTGGATAAATTAGGAATGAAGATATTCGAGCAAGGGTGGGCGCGGCTCCCATGGAAGACAAAATGCGGGAAGTGAGGCTTAGATGGTTCGGGCACGTGCAGAGGAGAAGCCTAGATACCCCGGTTAGGAGGTGCGAGCGGAATTGGCTCTGACGAGTATGAAGAGAGGTAGAGGATGACCAAAGAAGTATTAGGGAGAGATGATCAGGCAGGACATGACGCAACTTGAGCTCACCGAGGACATGGCCCTTGGTAGGAAGGCGGTACAAAAGTTTGCTTTAGCTAATAATCCAATCAAAGGAATAATTGGAACAAGGATATCGAACTTCTTAATTGCATTATTGATTAGAAATGAATTTTCTAACATTTGACTACGTACCATTGAAGGATTTAGTCGCACTCTTGAAATATAGCTCATAAAGTCACGGGAATGATTGGATAATTGGTTTATATGGATGTTTTATGTGTGAAAGTACAGAGGATTGAAGGTTAGTAGGTAGTTGAGCGTTGTTCTACACTGTTTTCTATGTAAGTCTAGTCGGTCAATATTGTAAGCACGTGATTTTTGCTTCACGGACAATTGCTCCAAAAGAAAATAAAAATAGCGGC